GCTTCATATGAAGCTTCCCACTGACCAAATATGTTTTCAATTGCTTTTTGCTTTACCATTCATGCTTTCCGATATGTTATTGTGTATCCATATCGAGCTTGAACTTCATTAATCACCAATTTTCTCTTAAAAGAAGGGGCAGATTCAATCATTGGCTTAATACATTTTGCAATTGTTTCTACATCTAACTTTTTATGATCTTGTGAAATCCTTTCCCGAGTACAACTATGTGGTCCATTATACTTTTTAATTTTTCAAAAATACTTGTTCTTCCTCAAACTAGCCCGAACAAACCACTCACAATCTGTCATAACTAACACATTTACAATAAAACGTATTTAGTTCAGACTTGAAAACTTTGTAGTCTATTCTTTTTGATATACTATAACTCTTAATTTTTCATACAACAACTTCTTTGTCATTAAATTTTATTTTAACATACAATTCTTCATCTATGTCAGAATGACCTATAAAACACAAAAAAAAAAAAAACTAAATATCATTCACATAACTAAAGATGAATTTATTACTGCAAATATAATAAAACATGTCAACATACCTAAGTTAGCATACTCTAAAAATTTAGGAACTTGCATAGCATTAAGCTCTAAAGCATACATGAATGATGGAACTCCAGATATATGTTGGTTAATCACTGAGTTTGATAAATGAGAGTCCTCATCATTTGCATCATCATCCAAACTATCATCATCAATATCCACCACTTTCATAATCTCCTTCAAAGTTGTCATCGTTGCTTTTGAGATTTTGTTCCCATTCAACATCTCTATTAGGAACAAAACTCACATATGTACCAATTGTAATTTATTTAAAAATAACATACAACTTAATTCAAGAATTTTAGTCTGACGCTCATAATAAATTTGAAATATTTGTTGAATATCATCGTCATTGTTTATTGTCATCACTTGGTATTGCATGAAACCTCCAAAAATAGAGATTGGACACTTGTAAATTATTCTCTCCACTATTTTTGGAGTCTGCACTTCAAATGATATATTGTAAGAAATATAGATGTAAGTTAGCTTCTCACACATAAATCTTATACCTTCACTCGTGTTTGAAACAATCTCACTGTTAAAGTAAACTATTGTATTTGCACTTATTTTTCTTCAACTATAAAGTATGAGAAATGAGAATTCAAATACAAAAAATAAAAGACTTTTAAGATGCAATTCGCTACAAATACAAATAAGTTATATATAGACAATTTTTTTTAGAACTCATTAATAATAATTTTTCTTTTAAAAAGTCACAAGTAATGATTTTTGAATGTATAAAAGTACTTTTCTACTCTAAAATTGTCAATAATGAGTTTTAATTACATAAAAAATTTATTTATTTTTATCTTAAAAGTCACTAATAACATTTTTTACTTTGAATAAATTTTTTATTCTTTAAAAATTTTCATAGGCGATTTTTTTAAATCCCATATATATATATATATATATATATAATATAATATTGATTACAAATCCATATTCATGTACTTTTGTGGTAAAAATGCCATATTTAAAAAAAATGACCCGGACATGTTGTGTACGAATTGATACTGTACTAGAATTACATTACATTGAGTGTCTTTTATAATTGTATTAAACACAGTTTGAATGTAGAGAATCTGCATTTGGAAAAGGAGCAGCAGAGAATGGTCCTTTCCCATGTTTGGCCCGGCCAACTTGACCCACCAACAGTTATTTCAACTTTCAACCATTCAATTTGAATCTGCCATTATTATTCAACCACTTCAACCCTCCATCGTCCTTGCATCACTACTACTTAAATCCTCCCTGTTTAATAAAGGATCCAATCAGTTTTCTAGAAAAAAATAATTATAAAATATTTTTTTATCATGTTTATTATGTTTTTAATGTAATAAAATATTTGTTTCCTAATATAATCTTATGAATTTATATATTATGAGTGAGAGTATACTAATAAAATATTTAGAGTTACTCTCTTTCAAAGTTCATCACATATATTTTAAAATTAAAATTAATTATATAAATTACACTTTTTTTTTGCAATATTTATACTTCGTACATCATATATTTTCATCTTAAATTCTAGAAATTAAAGTGGTTATTCAACTTTTATTTTTATATTTTTTTTGTAAATATCTATTTTAACATTTATAATTTTTTTCTATTTTTATCTAGAATTTACTTTTAAGAGTCTTTGCTTTTATATTTATGATTATTAATATACATTTTTATTAACATTTAGTTAATTTTGTTTACATTTTATGATAAAATTAATACTTTAAAATAAATTCTATTTTTTAATTATTTTACAATTAAATTTTATCATTTTAATACATAATATTTGTAGTTACAAAATTAAGTTAAAATAATTGTTTTAAAATTTTATTATTTAAAATAATTTTATTATATATAATTGTATTATTAAAATTTTAAATTATTTATATATTTATTCTAAAATAAAATACTTAATCGCATGATCCTGAACTAATTACTCTTAAAAGTAAGAGATGATGTTAAGAACGCTATATGGGAATCAAAATTATCAATCTATGGGATAACTCTTCTAAGAATTAAAAAAAAAACTTAGGCAGTAGTTTTAATATCTGATGTTTATCTTGTTAATCAATATTAATTTTTATTGAACTTATTGAATAAAATACATAATATTCGTTTTTAATGCGCTTGAACTGGCCGGTTAGAGTAAAATGGTTTATTGAACTTATTTTTTTAGTTAAAATTTTTCAGAGGTAAAATATATTTATTTATCATAAATTAATATTAAAATATTATTTTAATAAACTTTTTCAATTTTATATTAATTATAAGTAAGTCAATCTTAATTTATTTTGTATTATTTTTTTTAAATATTTGACAAGTTGACCTATCTCTCTAGCACACCATTAAACGTGCTGAATGACTCAGACTAAATATATTATTTAATATAGTATTTTTATTGTCCTTTCAAAAATAATAATATAATTTTAAAAATAAAAATTAATTACTAGAATAAGTGAATTTAACATTCTTTAAAAAATATACTAAACAAGTAGAAAAAATAGACGTTACCCGTCAAAGTATGGTAATGTCATATATTAGCAGCTAGCAGGTGTTTCTTTCTTTTTTCTCTGCATATTAAAATTTGACACGTGGAATTTAAATTCAAATTAGTAAGAGAAAATTTTAAATTTTAAATTTAATTAACGTATGAGAGGGAAACTAAAATTCAAATTTAAACTTAAATTAATATAAAAATATAATTTTAACTCAAAAATTGGGTCAAAACAGAGAAAAAAAATTAAGATTGAAATTTTAAATTTTAATATTAAAAAATAGCACCTATCACACGAATATTACATGAATGTGTAACATCCTTCTAATCACATTCTAACATACTTGTTCTTTTTGTTAAATATCCTTTAGTTAATATCATTTAAAAATTAATCATGATAAAAAAAGTTCTTTTTAATTTATTTATCTTTCAAAAAATTAAAATACTTCATAAATTAATTATTTTAAATATTATTTAATTATAAATTTAAAAATATATTATTAACATTCTTTTCGCGAAGAAATAGTCTCATGAAAGCATATACCATCAGAACAGACAAAGTAGGAGGTATATCGTGTGTGTATAATGTATGCCATCTGAATGTTTCATGCGGTGATAATGTTTTTCTTCATGTTAGTTTGATATACAAGAATTCTTTGTCCTGTGTTGATGCCTCGTTGGCATTGGTATAAAAAATTATTTTGAAATGATGCATGTATTGGAATGTCAAAATTTATAGTATATCATATGTGACCAAGTTGAATGTTGCATTTTGTTTTTATTTGAAACATAATGGGATTCTGAGCCAGATCTTGTACATAATTCTGAAAGATCTAAATAAGACATTCAAACTTTTGTGCTACGGAATAAAATATGAAAGAAACGTCAAAATCTAAAAATGATTTATCAAAATGGACATTGCATTTAACCTTGTTTTTACTACTTTTTCTTATTAAAAATTTTCTTAAATGGAATAAAAAAGAAAAAAAAAACATTTCAGAAGAAATTTAAGAAACTGGATAATAAATAGGAAAAAGTAATTAGTTTTAAAAGAAATTATTATATAAAATTTATACAGGTGATACTAATAATAAATAAAACTTGTCAAATAAAAAATTAGAGCCACATTAATAAGAATAACTTTTTTTATGCTCCTAGGTCACTATATTTCCGACTTCACCCAAAAATTTCTCCATCAATAAAAATTTCACTTAACAATGAATAACTTGTCTTCAAAAGAAATTACACAATTTCCAAAGCCCTTTATCTTAAAAGTAAATTTTTATCAATTTTACCCAAACTCTGTTACATTGGTAAAACTAACAGGCCAGAAGAATGTATTGGAAAAATCATTTTAGAGAATGTCTTTTTTTATCATGTTTCATTACAAAGATTTTAGATCTTATCATGTGACTAAGTGATATAATATAATCATGTTACAAAAATATAATTTTCATTAAAAAATTCCATTATAATTACTTGTAAGTTTTACTAGTTAAATTTAATAAAAATTATAATTTTTTTCTCTGATTTAATTATATTACATTACTCAACAACATTTAAGTATTAATTTAGGTTGGTTTCTGAGACGGGTTTTTTTTCTTTTACTTTCGAATTCACTTGCGTTAACATATTATAATATGTACTGATCGAGTATCGTTTTCCTAAGTAGCAAAAGATAACAATAAGATAATAGAAAAAATATATGTCATCAATTCACCATGTCAAACACTAAAAATTTGTCCTGTGTGCTGTTGAATTGCACCATGCGGCAAGAAATATGAGTGAAAAGGGTCCATCTGTTGGATGTGACTTCCACAGTCACACGCACAACTAAAAAGAGCTCTAAAGCCTCACGCCTTTACCTTTATATAGTACAAGCTCCTCAAAATCCTCAAACCTCCTTCATTCCATTCTTGTTTTCACACACCCTTCTTCCTCTTCCAATGGCTCAGGTACCAATTTTCATTTCATATTCTCTCCATAACTCTCTAATTTGAGTAACTTCTTCCTCTTATATTCTTTATTCACCTGTTCGTACCTTTTAGCCACATATTTATTTTATATATTGTATGGTTTAAAGAAATAAGTTAAAAATTAATTTCTTTACTATTTTCTCTTTCCCTTCCTTGTCTCTCTGTGCATGTTGTTCCTCACTGAATCCATAGCAGAAGGTTGTGTTGAAGGTGTTGACTATGACTGATGACAAAACAAAGCAAAAAGCTATAGAAGCAGCTGCAGATATCTTTGGTGGGTAGTTTATAAAAAATCAAATTTTCTACCTTGATTTCATGTTAATGGAATATTAGTTATTTAACTAAGGCCTGATCTGTTTGATTGTTGGTATACTTTGATCCACAGGGGTTGATTCAATAGTTGCTGATGTGAAGGAGCAAAAGTTGACAGTGATTGGTCAAATGGACACAGTGAAAATAGTGAAGAAGCTGAAGAAAGTAGGTAAGGTAGATATTATATCAGTTGGACCTGCCAAGGAAGAGAAGAAAGAAGAAAAGAAAGAGGAGAAAAAGGAAGAGAAGAAGGAGGAGAAGAAGGAAGAGAAGAAAGAGGAGAAGAAAGAAGAGAAAAAGGAAGAGAAAAAGGAGGAGAAAAAATAAAGACAACATCTCATCATCTGGTTTTTTTATTTCTACCCTTTTTTTTTATTATATGTTTTGGATATTTTCCCATATAGAGAAGCCATTGTAAGCTGCAAAAATTGTCCATAGAGTCTTTTCTTTTATGTTGAAGTGGGTTCTTCTCAAATCTGTTGTTTACAATCTTTTTTGAGCATGGATCGATCTTCAGTTGCTAAGATGGAAATGAGCTTTAGTAAAAGAATTTTGGCCAATTGTGAAGAAACAAAGACAAAACTTTTTTTTTTTAATTTGTCCCTTTTTCTCTGTTTCATGTTTTCTAGTATATAGAACTAGAGAAGGAATGGTAGTTGGTTAGTATCAAAATTATTATTATAATAGTATCACTGTAAACATGATTTTAAACTTCTCTTTATTCAGTTCATTATTATTATTATTTTCTTTTGTTTGGTTATGCAAGTGGCTCGTGACTGTGATGATATCGATGCCATTTGTTCATGTTTATGAACAGAAGTTGGTATGACAGTAAGATAAAACAAGGAAAATTTTGTTATCAAGAAATTCCCCCAATTGGCTTGTGGGTCATTTGATCTTGGCTCAATGGCACCGAAGTCCAAAATGGCTAGCGAATGCATCATTCCAATAAAAATGTCTCAAGCACAAAAATTGGTTTTTCGATGATGCTTCTAAGAGAGAGAGAGAGAGAGAGAGAGAGAGAGAGGATGTGGCTAGGATTATTTCTTGATGATCAAAACATGTTAATTAAGATGTTAAGGTAGTGTTTACAAGGGTTGGGAATCTTTCTCCACCAAGTTGGTATTTCTAAATTTAACAGACATGGCTACTAAAATAACATTACTTAATTATTTGATGATTAGATTCTTAATATTTTTTATGTTAAATTTTACATCATTTAAACTTTTGTGGATATATTATTTAAAATTTGATATTTATTTATATTTTAAAAATATATTATACATTAAATAAAATAATGTGATAAAAAACTTATTAATTTTATTTTTATACAAAATATTATGATATTAACTTATTTAATAAAAACCTTCTAACCAAAGCTTGAATTAGTCAATTTAAAAAAAAAAGTTATTTAGAGGTGTAAGTATTTAGTTTGAGACCTATAATTAACTAATACTAACTCATTTTTATGTTTATAAAAATAATTAAAAAGTGTTAAATTTGGTATATCCTATTTATATTTTAAAAATATCATCAAAACACCGCTAATATATAAATATTAACTCTTACATTTTCATATTTTTTTTTCATCTAGTATTCATCTTCCTCTCATTTCCACTTATTTCTTTTTCTTTTAATTACATTATTAGTCACATTTGTATAATCTTTCTCTTCCTCTACATTCTACACACAAAAAATAGGTGTTATTTTTAATTTTATAAAAAATTCTTAAAATAATCGATTTTCGGCATCGTTGACTCTCTTTTCTTAGCTGGCGCACAATATTATTAGGTCGTAAAATGCCTAATCAATTTTATACAGTGATGAGAAACTTAAAATTTGTGGCACCGTTTTACTATTCACTACTTCCCAGTTTCTACTGTTGCAAAAATGTATCATTTCTAATTTTTCGTATAAAAAATAAATAAATTTATTAATATTAATAAAAATAATTAGATATCATAAATTTATATTGTATTTTAAACAATCTACAACATTAAATGGTTAAATTGATAATTTTATATAGTAAACAAATAAATATATTTACTTATATGAATAATAAATGAGTCTCTTATTAATATAAATTTTATAATAAATAAGAATATAAAACTTAATAATTATTAAAATTTAAATTTTTTATAATTACTATTAATAAATCATTTTTAATTTATTACATTTTAAAATAATCCTTTAATTTATTATATATATATAGTTGTAACACTTACAGAGTTTGTGGTGGACACACTCATAGTCGTGTGGATGGACCCAACATCCCACATATGCTGCATTGCGCTGGCTAGTATCAATAAAAGAATTTGAGAAAAGTTATTTGTACAATTGTTTTTTGCAAAATAGAAAAATAAAGAAAAAGAAAAAGCAACAAGATGATGATATGATGAAAGAGATAAAAATCATTATTATAAAAAATTTATTGTAAAAATATTAAATCCAAAGAATTTTGTGATCCAACCATGGCTATGATAGCTGAAAACCAATTATACAATTTGAGAAATGGTAATTTTGTAAAAGATTTGTATGGCTTCTGCTACATTGAGAAAACCAATTATATTATTGAATTTGTAAAAAATAAATACTTTATTTTTAAAAATTACATAATAGTTAGAAAAACATTAAATTATATTATTATATTATGTATTTAAAAATATAATGAGATTAAATAAAAAATATTATTTATAAAATTTGCAACTCCCATCCAGATTAAATATAGGTGAAATAACGGGGCCATTGTGACTTGTAAGGTGAAAGTGATGATATATTTATGGAATACAAGTGGGGCATTGTGATTCTTGAATTCTGGCATATAAGGTGATTCTGAAGTACTTGACATGATATCAAAGATATGTACAACACCGTGAATCAGTCAAATGTCTTTATGATGCTGAGTTTGCATTTACAGTTAACCTATACACAACACTGGAGGCTGCAATCAATTGGAGAGGAATTCCAATTCGATTATTTATGATTACCGTACCCTTTAGATTATCTTCCCCTTAATACCACACCAATTATTTGTACTTTTATTTCATTGATCAATTATTTGTGTTAGTTCATAATTGCATGTAAAAATCTCTAGGGTACAATGTAAATAATTAATAAATACTATTTTTTATCTAATTAATAAAAAATAATAATTAATATATCTTTTTAGGAATAAGATCTGATTAACTTAGACCAAATCTCAATTATACAGATTAAATAATTTAATAGTTAAAAAAGTTATCTTTTTTTATTAATTATTATCTTTTTTAGATTTGTGTTAATAGATCTTATTTTTATTTTTTAATTATATATACATATATAAATATAATATTCAAATTAACAACTAATACAATAAATAAATAAAGATATTCACTTACAGTCTCTTGATAATTCAAATTTTATAATAAATAAATGTAAAATTTAACAGTTAATATATATAAAGATAAATATTTTTTATATTTAAAAAATAGTAATTTTTATAAATTAGAATTATTAAAATAATAATATTTAATGTTATTACGTAATTTATAATTCAGTGTGGGTAAGACTCGTCAACATTTCTAGCCTGTGATTAGCTTTGGGTTTTGTAAACTCAAATACGTAGTTGAAGATTGAATTTTGCCTTCGTGCATAACATGCTTAACATCAAAATTAGTTTTAAATAAATAATTTTGTTTAAAAGACTCACTTAAAATTAATTTTTATTAATCTTCGAAGTTAAACATTTTAAAATCAGTTATTCTCACCACACAAACCTGTTTGGATTAGAGTTGAACCGGAATTTTGAAAAATTGAAAAAGTTTTAGTTCATTTTGGATGAAACACAGGAAATTGTAAAATAGAGTTTAGAGTTGCAAACAGTATACCAAACACGATGAAAAAGAATTTTGACCAACCACATAAATCATTGTCCAAACCATAGAATCCTACAGTAACCAAAATTTTCATTCTAAACAAACAACTATAAATAAATCAGATTTTGTGAATCTAGTCACATAGGATATTCTTGTCAGCAACCATGGAGTCCCAAAGTGGCTACCCATTTTGCTCTAATGACGATTGCTAAAATAAGTTTAAATGTGATGTGACTAAAGTTAAATTAGTGAACCAAAAAAGGCATGACATCCTTACTTTTGAAAGGATTGATTCTGGGCGATGAGAAATGATTCATCTGAATGTAGAAATCCATCTGATTAAACAATAATGTTTACTACTGGTTTCTTGTTCGTGATTCTCACCTCATATTAAGTATCAAACAAAATCAAAGGCATAAAAATAATTTAAGACATGTATGCTAATGAAAATGAAGATTAAAAAACCCATAATAATAGATATATTTATATAAGAAAAAGATAAGTATCTTATTAATATAATTCTCATAAAAAGAATAAAAAAAAAAGAAGTATCATTATTATTAGAGCTGTCAAAACGGGCAGCTCGACTCGATCCAGCCCGATACAGGTAGCGGGTTCAAATGAGTCAGACTTAATTAGCCCAAAGTAAAAATGAGCTTATATTTTTACTGCCCAAACCTTACCTTATGCAGGTTACGGGCTTCTGTCCCGACAACTCAAATAATTTTTTTTTTCTCTTATTTTTGTAACATATCATTTTTTTTACTGTTTTTATAACAACAAATCATTATTTTTATTGCTATTTTTAGTATTTATAACATATCATATTTTTAGTATTTGTAACATATCATATTAAGCTAAGAACTTAATAGATTATTGATTTCTATAATTCACGCAATACTTGATTTCAGGATCATCCAGGACTAATTTACTCTGCAGTATTGTCTAAAGTGTCCACTGATAATTCTGTCCAGAAAGTATATTTTCGTTCTATTTGAATTATTCAAAAAATAATAATAATAATTAATTAATAAATATATTTATCATAATTATCTTTCTTGAAAAGCGTGAGATTTGGTAATCATTACTTTAGATTTTCAATGATTACTTAGCCGTCATAATTTTGCACGAAATTTCACGAGATCTAGTAATCATTTCCTTGAAGATCCCAAAAATCTAGTTCGGCCACTAAGATTGCATGCAATAGATCTTGTTCCCCGATTCCTAAACCAAGTCACTTTGAAACTTTCTTGTCTTGTCTTACAAATTCCAACATGATTTCCTTGGAATTGCCACCATGTCAAATGTCCTTTCAAATGTCAACCAAGTCACGTCAAATTTCTCGTCGGCCAATTATTTTGCATGCATGATGTCCAAAGCTTTAAGCCTTGATATTTGTGCCGATTCTTGGAACTTGCCTCACCAAAAACCGTGAGCCCCTTTTCATGTAACAATCCTTTTACTTCAATTGGCCAATTGCAAAATTGAAAGCCTTAGAACCTTATCCAAGGAGCCTAGGGCCGTGAATCCATTCCCTTGGCCATTTCATTTTCACCTTTCATGCAAAAGGGGACACTTGGTCCGAATTTGCATTTTTGCTGCACCAAACCAAGAAACTATCTCACACTCTCTCTTGAAACCCTTCCACTTTCTCATTCTCTCCATCCTCTCTTCAAACTGAGACTTCCCCTCCCCAAAAATCTCACATTCTCTCAACTTTTCAAGGCCAAAACCGAGAGACTCCAAGCACTTACCTTGTTCCTTGCTTGCTTTCTTCAAACCGAGACCACAACACCAAAGAGGTAAGCCATTTCTCATCTTTACTTCCTTGATTTGGGGGAGCCTAACACCATAGCACCTTCCTCCACCATTCTTTCTAATTTTCGTGTTGAAGGAACCCACTTTAGAGGGAGAACTTGAAGAATCTTGCCACTATTTTTTTTGGTCCAGCAAGCTTCCCTTGAAGATCAACCATTTCCAGCCCTTCTCTCTTCAATCTCACGTCCAAAAATCAAAGGCAAGGGGGAGTTCTCACCTTGCTTGATTTTGCATGTTGAGATTTGATGTTCTTGCTCATTTTTCCTTGATAAACTCTTGTATTTTGGACTGCATGTGGAAGTGACTTGAATCTGATTTTTGCATGTTGAATCACTTCAAAGAGTGTGTTATCTTCCCATTTACATGTCTCGGCCAGCCC